TGATTTTGTGTATTTGAGTATAGGTGCCCATGGAAAACAGAAGAGAGCATTAGATACCCTGAAATGGATACTGGAGATTGTGAGCCTCCTCTCGTGAGTTGGGATCCAGGTGTTCTGGAAGAGCAGCGCGTGCTCTTAACCACTAGGAAATCTCAATTGCCATTCACTCAGCATGGAATGTCAGCTTCCTGCTTCTAGAGGCCACCTGCCTTGAAGTATCATTTCCTATCACTCTACCTATGTTGCTTGCGAGGAAAGAAGCTGGCTTAAGCAAAGAGGTGACACTTCCTCACCATGGGCATACAATATCAAAAATGTAAATTTCTGAGTTATGTAAATCTAGATAAACATTGGAACAAAAAACGAGCAAACAAACAATCAAAAAAGAATAAGCATAGTGCACATAAAAGAAGCCAAGAGAAGTAACACACCATAATCCCAACCCTTGGGCAGTGAACGAGGCAGGAGTGTCAGAAGTTCACTCTTCCTTGCCTATATAATGAGCTTGATGTCATTCTGGCCTACATGAGACCCTGTCTCAAAACAAAACAAATAAACAAACAAACAAAACCCAGATGTGCTGCGGGGTGGTAGTGGTGCGTGCCTTTCATCCCAGCACGCCTTTCATCCCAGAGAAACCCTGTCTCAACAAACAAAACAAAAAAGAAGAAAAAGCCAAGATTAACAAAGTCTAATTTCAAGGAAAAAATTGCACTATAGAATTGAGTTGATAACCAGACAGTACATTGTGTGTGTGTCCAGACAGGGTTTCTCTATGTAGCCGTATCTGTCCTGCAACTTGCTCTATAGACCAGGCTGATTTTGAATTCAGTTGGAGTTCCTCCTGCCTCTGCCTCCCTAGTGCCTAGTGCCCACCCCTCCAAGGCCAGCTCAACACACATTTCCTTTTTTTGTTTTGTTTTGTTTTTTCGAGACAAGGTTTCTCTGTAGCATTGGATCCTGTCCTATCCAGTAGACCAGGCTGGCCTTGAACTCACAGAGATCCACTTGCCTCTGGCTCTGGAATAAAAGGCGTGAGCCACTGCCACCATCACCTGACTCAATACAGATTTCTTAATTATCTCATAAATGCTTCTTCATGTCTTCGGCTACTCTCATATGAATTATATATATATATCTCACAACCAAAATGTAAAGATTATATATGTGTATGTATATACATATAGACACATAGGTTTGTTTTGTTTTTTGTTGGACATGGGTTCAGTGTAGTCCAGGCTAGTATTGAACTCACTGGTTAGCCCACACTGATCATAAACCACTCATGATCCTCTTGTTTCTGCTTCCCAAGTTTAGAATTACATACCAATATGCCTGGTTCACACACAGGTTTTATGGCCATTATCTATTCTTAATGGCCAATGCACACAATAATTATGCAAAATATTGTCAGGACAATGCCAGACATTGAGTCATTATAAGGCTGGGTATGGTATGTGTCTTTAATCTCAGCACTTAGGAGGTGTAGGCAGGAGGGTCAGGAGGTTAAGGACAGCCTCAGCAACAGAGTAAGTATGAGACCATTCTGGGCTACAAACAAGTAAATAAAACAGATGAGTAGATGGGCATGAGATTAAGTGCACACCTTAATTCCAGCACTTGGGAGGCAGAGGCAGACAAATCTCTGTGGGTTTGAAGCCAATCTGATCTACATAGAGAGCTCTGGAACATACAGAATACACAGTGAGACCCTGTCGATAGATAGATAGATAGATAGATAGATAGATAGATAGATAGATAGATAGATAGGTAGGTAGGTAGGTAGGTAGGTAGGTAGGTAGGTAGGTAGGTAGATAGATAGATAGATAGATAGATAGATAGATAGATAGATAGATAAATAGATACCTTTAATTCATGATAAGGGTTTTGGTTCAGGAATCAACAAACTCATAAAACAGGATATAAAACCCAGTCAAGAGCTTATCCATACACAGACACTTAAATAATTAGAGATTATATTGAAAATTAGCATGGGGACTTCTAATTCTTTCTGATTCTTGTGGAATACTGTTAGAAACCATCCTTTAGTCTTGCTACTTCTCCTATGAAATTAACATAGAACAAAAAATGAATTTAAAAACAAGACTTAAATTACATCTTCACTGAAGTAAGAAGAGAATTTAAAAATCTCAAACCACTTCAACTCTGTGCTAATAGCTGCTTCAAACACCTTGAGCTTCTAAAAATTTAAGCAAAATATACATACATACACATCTTAATATAAATCCATCCATACACAGCTTAATATAAATACATACATACACACCTTAATATAAATACATACATACACCCCTTAATCCAGGATTTAAAAGGTAAACAACTTTCAAAATTAAAGCGTTGAAATTGGGGAGATAGTTTAGAGGTTCATAGCACTGGCTGTTCTTCCAGAGGACCTGGGTTTAATTCCCAGCATCCAAACGGTTGGTAACAACTGTCAATAACTCCAGTCCCAGGGAACCCAAAGATCTCTCCTGGTTTCCAAAGACACCAGACACACTTGTGGCACATGGACATTCACGCAGGCAAAACACCCATATGCATAATAAAAATAAAAATAAAATTTTAAAAATTAAAAAATATAAGCCTATTACCTCTCTCATCTTTCTAGAGTAAGTGACTGGGAGCAGGTCTGCCCCTGCAGATGATTGGAAAGGCTCGGAAACACTAGCGTGATGAAACACTGTGAGAAATGACTCAGATGAGATCTGAGAAAGACTAAGATCCAGCATTAAAAGCCTACCTTTTGGGACAATGTTCCACTCTGGGCACAACTGCCAGTTCTGGATAAGCATTTTCTGGAAAACACTTTAGATAATGCCTTAGGGATGGGAATTAGAAGTTGTAGTCTAAGGTTCAGAAAACATCCTCTGGAGTTGGGGAGATATCTCAGTGGATAGAGGTGCTTGCTGGACAAACATGAGGACCTGAGTGTGAATCCCCAGCACCCATGCTTGTTTGTTTTAAGGGCGAATCATGGCCATATACATGGTTATAACTCAGACTGTGGAGGAATTGAAGACAAGGGAATAACTGGGCTTGTCTGCTGCCAATGTAGGGCAAGAATCAATGAGAAACCTGTCTCAAGGTAATAAGGACAGAGCAGGACACATGACATCCTCTGTTGGCATCTGCATGCACATACAGGGGTGCACACACCTGCACGTATATATGAATGCACACACCACACACACATACACACACACACACAAATACACACTCCCTAAAAAACTTTCTACTCAAAAGTCCCAAAGAGCGAGTGAGTTGGAAATAGATCAATCGCTCTGGAGATGACAGCTCAGCTTTGAGTCATCTTAATCACTAAAATTTAGTTTGATTATCTCAAACTGATAGAGATTCTGGATGCCTTCCAGAAACAAATGTAAGTTCATTCTGGAGAAGAAAATACTAACCCCCCGCAACCTCCAATTATTTCTAAAAATATTTTTCCAACACAATGCCTCTCACATAATCAGAAGCATCCAGGCACATAAAGAGAATGTTAATGAGGTAATAATGATAAAGAATTTGCCAAAATTAGTGGCAGACAACAAATCGAAGATTCAGGAATCTCGACGAGGGCACAGCAGCATAAACACACTAGATAATAACCAACGCTCATCTTAGCACATAATACTCAAACTACAAAAAAATAAACCCAAAAATTTGGAGAACTGGGGTCAGGAGACAAGCCAGAGGAAATATCCCATTCACCTGCAGAGGAACAAGGGCTAGAATGGTGTGATATATTTAAGAAAGAAAAAATATACCCACTACTCTTGGATGAAGAAATGAAAAAAAGAGGCAAATAGAGATTTCTCATGTTTGTGAATAGGAAGAGTCAATATTGTTACAATAACATTTTTAAACAGTCTGTGTGTGCACATGCATATAGGCGAATGTATGTACATGTCACATTGCATTGCATATGTGTGGAGGGCAGAGGACCACTGTGGGAGTTGGTTCTCTCCCTCCTCCATGTGGGTTCTAGGGCAGAACTCAGGTTATCAGACTTGATGACAAGTACCTTTATTCACCGAGCCATCTCCTCCAAGGGCCGCAAGAACAGTTTGGTTTCATTTTTTTTTTCCAATGTGGTTATATCAATGCGAACCTAGTCATAGTTCCAGGAAGCTATTTTATGGGTTTGGTGATTGCCATCTTAGCACAAACTAGAGTCACCTGGGAAGAGGTAGCCTCAGTTGAATTTCTCCCATCAGATTGGTTGGTCTCTAGTCATTTCAATGAAGTGGGAGGGCCCAGCCCATTGTAGGCAGCATCTTCTTCCCTAGCTGGCAGCCTGGACAGCATAGAGAGCTTGCTAAGCAAGCAGTGGGAGCAAGGCAGTAAACAATATCCTCACAGGGTTCCTGCTCTGTTTGTTTGGTTGGTTTTGGTTATTCGAGACAGGGTCTCTTCTGTGTCACAGACCTAGCTGTCCTGGAACCAGGTTGGCCTCAAACTCAGAGATCTGCCTGCAACTATCTCCTGAGAGCTGGGATTAAAGGTGTGAGCCACCACCACCCTGCTTTTTTGTTGGTTTTTCAACAAAACTCTCTCTGTAGAACTCACTCTGTAGACCAGGCTGGCCTCGAACTCACAGAGATCCACCTGCCTCTGCCTCCCAAGAAAGCTCGGATTAAAGGCGTGTGCCACCACCGCCCGGTTTGGGAGGGCTTCTATGCTCTTCAGAAGCAAGACCCAGGGTTCCTGCTCTGACTTCCTTTAGTGATGGATGGCTTGTGACCTAGGAGATGGGAGCTGAAATAAACCTTTTTCCTCCAAAGTTGTTTTGGATCATGGTGTTCATCTTGGCAACAGAAAGCGCACTAGTACAATGAGTGTTGACAAGTTGACTCTAAATTTTATATCTAAAGGGAAAAAAAGAGTACATACCATGATATCAAAAGAGAACAATGTGGAGTGTTGCCAATATTTAATTTTCAATTTGTCACAGAACAAATAAAACACTTTAAAATTCAAAAGATTCAATCATATGTATTTTTAAAGTTACCTGCTTTAAGTGTAACTATGGGAGGCACACCTTAGTGGTTGGGTACTTGTCTCCTCGCAGGGACCAGTTCAGGGCTGGGTATGGTAGTCCATGCCTGCATCCTTAGCTCTGGAAGGTTAAAGCAGGAGAGAATCATGAGTTTGAGGCTAACCTGGACTATGTGACAAGATCCTGTCAGAAAAAGAAAAAAAGTTGCTCTACCAAGAAGAAAGCACAATTTGAAAAGTAGATGTACCTCACACAAACTACTAAAAATATGTGATTTGTAAGCTAACAAATCTTCAGCCCAGCATGAAAGTGAGTGCCAGTGACCTCAGAACTTGGAAAGTGGAAAAGAAAGCTCAGTAGTTCAAGGTCCTACTCAATTCAATAATGAGTTAATGGCCAGCCTGTATGACATGAGAGCCTGTCTCAAAAACAATAACATGGACCTGGAGAGATGGCTCAGCAGCTAGAGTCCTGGCTGCTCTTACAAAGGACCTGGGTTCGATTCACCTTCTTCTGGCCTCAGAAGGCACTAGGCATACACGTGCTGTGCATACATGCAGGTGTGTTGCCAAAACTCTCATACACATAAAATGTTTACAAATTTACCCGTGTGTGTGCGTGCGTGTGCGTGCGCGTGCACGCAGCAGAAGACACACATATGTGGCCGCATGCTTGTTGAGATCAGAGGACAACTTTCAGGAGTGGGTTCTCTCATTCCATGTGGGTCCGTCTTGTTTCTGTCCCTCTGCTACATGGCCCTCATGATTCTCATTTCCTCCTCCCATTTTTGCCACAGAAGTGCTGGGATTACAGACGCGAGGCTCTGCATCTGACTTTTCCGTGCGGGTTCTGGGTATCCAACTCAGATTATCAAGCTTGTTCATTAAGAGCCTTCACCTGCTTGTCTATCTCGCCATTTCTGCATCTTTATGAATGTGTGTTTGTGAAAAGGAAGCTAAACACTTTAGTATTGTGATTTGACAGATAGCTTTTAGATATTAACACACACGATTTATCAATTTCCGTTTCTTCTTTTGCCCTCGGCTCTGCAAATGCTAGGGGCACCCACGCCCTAACTTCTTTGACCCACAGCATCCTTTTCAGAAAAAGGAGATAACACTCCTGAGTAACAGAATAAGGAGGGAATAGGCACGAGCGCGGAGTAAATATGGCTACATAAGTTCTCTCGCTCTCCTGAGAAAGAAATCCGTGCTTGGGGGCTTATTTTAGGATGCAAGAGACGAGAGTGTATTTGATACTCAGGAGCCAGGAAGTGGTTGAAGATACGAAGAGGTGTGTGATGGAGCCCGGTAGGATGGGTTGCGTTTCGGTAGTAGGGATAGAGAGTTGGAAGCCCCATCCGCCCCTCAGAAAACGGTCTCGCTGTTGGAGGTGTGCAGGAAGGGATCGGCTCTGACTCCCGCAGACATCGCCACGCATGACGAAGCTACTTCCCATCCACTGCCACGCCCGCACACCCTCCACATACAGGGCAGCTGAGGGTCCGGTTGCCATGGAGAGTTGGAGCGCGTGAGCCCAGCCGCCCCTCCCGGCCCCCGCCCCAGCTTAGTCAATTCCCGCTCTGATTGGCCACCGCTATTCATTATGCAAATCACTTGCGTAGACAGGCCCGGCTAGCTGTCTGACGTCACTAAGCTGGGGGGGGGGGAGCTGGGGCTCGGGGCTGGGCTAAGCGCGCTAGGGCGGGAGCCCAGAGAGCTCCGAGGGGGACTCCAGCCGGACTCAGGCGCCCCGCCTCGACCACGCCCCTTTCTAGCCTGTCCCGCCCCTCGCTCTCGGCCGGGCCCCGCCCCCTGGGTAGCCCCCCGCCCTCGCAGCCGGGCCCCGCCCCCTCCCCCAGGCCCTCGCCAGCAGTCCGGGGAAGGGACGGCGGGACAAGCGGGACGC